TCAGGAAGATCCTCTGGAGAAGGAAATGGCAACCCACTCCAGTATTCTTGCCTGGAGAACCCCATGGACAGAGGAGTCTGCAGACTCCAGTCCATGGAGACTCCAGTCCATGGTGGTATGGGGGTGGGGTGCGGGGGGGTGGAGGGTGTGTGTGTCACAAAGAGTTGGACATGACTGAAGAAACTTAGCATGCAAGCACACACAATCATTGATGGCCTGCTTTCCTCTTGGCTGCACTGGCCTTCCCCAGGGACAGTGGTATCCAGCAAACAAACCCAATATATCCTTGCTGTAATAAAGGGATCCAGGCTTGAGAGCATCTGGCTGCATTTGTTGCCAAAATCTGCCCCCCATCAGCTGTGACTTTCATATGCATGTCTGGCAACGTGTATGTAAGTGCACTGGGGACCATTCTGAGCATGACTGCACATGATGGGATTTATGGAAGCAATGCTTGTCATAAGTAGTTGGTGCCTCAGAAACATGTGTACTTGGGTGGCCCCCTCATCCACCTTCCTGTATATTTTTAGCTCACATGGGCACTTCTCAATTTGTCTCTAACATGTTTCACAAACTAGATGCTCACCTACTCTCAGTAGATTTCAGATTTTGTGGGTTTTATCCACCCCTCTTTATTCACTTTTTCTCTATAAGAGAAGTGATTAGTTTTAGATGGCATAGTAAACACATATCACAGGGGAAATTGTGAATTTAATTAAGAAAGAAGAATGTGAGTAGAGAATGATCCAGGAGATTCTGGACACCCACGTCCATATGCTTATGGATGCTTCTTAACAGAGAATCTACAGTGCAACCAACAGCTGTGGCCAGAACTAAACTGACTGTGGGGAACACTTGAACCAGCACACACATCGTGGGGTGGTCAGTGAGATGAGATGTGGAACTGATATAAAAACTATCATTAGCTGGAGTGCTCACTCTTTGGGTCAAAGAAATTTTAATTGAGTTTAAATTTGAGACTTATAAAGACCCAGAAAACAGCGTAAAGATAATTTAGAGACCAACATGTCACTAAAAAAAAAATGCATGAGGTGTATATAACCATGAATAAACCAAGAACAAAAATACATTTTTTCCATCCTTAGTAAGCAACAGTTAGAACTGGACATGGGACAACAGACAGGTTCCAAATAGGAAAAGGAGTACATCAGGCTGTATATTATAACCCTACTTATTCAATTTATATGTAGAGCACATCATGAGAAACGCTGGGCTGGATGAAGCACAAGCTGGAATCAAGATTGCCAGGAGAAATATCAATAACCTCAGATATGCAGATGACACCACACTTATGGCAGAGAGTGAAGAGGAACTAAAAAGCCTCTTGATGAAAGTGAAAGAGGAGAATGAAAAAGTTGGCTTAAAACTCAATATTCAGAAAACTAAGATCATGGCATCTGATCCCATCACTTCATGGGTAATAGATGGGGAAAAATTGGAAGCAGTGTCAGACTTTATTTTTCTGGGCTCCAAAATCACTGCAGATCGTGACTGCAGCCATGAAATTAAAAGACACTTACTCCTTGGAAGGAAAGTTATGACCAACCTAGACAGCATATTAAAAAACAGAGGCATCACTTTGCCAACAAAGGTTCATCTAGTCAAGACTATGATTTTTCCAGTAGTCATGTAGGGATGTGAGTGTTGGGCTATAAAGCAAGCTGAGCACCGAAGAATTGATGCTTTTGAACTGTGGTGTTGGAGAAGACTCTTGAGAGGCCCTTGGACTGCAAGGAGATCCAACCAGTCCACCCTAAAGGAGATCAACCCTAGGTGTTCACTGGAAGGACTGATGTTGAAGCTGAAACTCCAACACTGCGGCCACCTGATGCAAAGAGCTGATTCATTGGAAAAGACCCTGATGCTGGGAGAGATTGAGGGCAGGAGGAGAAGGTGATGACAGAGGATGAGATGGCTGGATAGCATCACTGACTTGATGGACATGAGTTTGGGTGGCCTCCAGGAGTTGGTGATGGACAGGGAGACCTGGCGTGCTGCAGTTCATGGGGTCACAAAGAGTCGGACACGACTGAACGACTGAACTGAACTGAAGGGCAGGAGGGAGTAAAATAAGTAGAAAGTATAGACAGAGAAAGTTGTTAAGAGTAAAGAGTGCACAGGATAAGAGCCATTGTAGAGAAGAAAGAAATTAACAATGAAAGCAAGGTGTTCTCCTCACCTGAGTGGATGCTGTATTTTGAATCCTAGCACTTTTAGTGGTCTGTTGCTGTGTTGTTAGTGTTAATTTTTTTGTGGTCTGTTGTGTTTTATTATTGTTTTGATGTAAATAGCTTTCTAGTTCAGGCAGAGAGACAATATGGAGAAGATAGATACTCTCTTTTTTAGTAAAAGAGTTATTTGAAGAGCTGTCTTTTCTCGAGCAAAGAAATTAGGACAAAGAGAGTTCTGTTATCCCAGTCTAAACTGCAGTAAAACTGTTTTATGAAGCTGAATTAGCAAAGGTGCTTCTCCTCTTGGAAATCAGAGTGTGGAGCACAAGGAAGTTAGAGAGTTGTGAACCTCCAACTTCAAACAGGCATTTATCAAGAGATCAAGACTAGCAAACTCGTATTCAACATATAGGGCAGGAGTTCAGGATTTATGTACATGTAACTGATGTTGAGGCTCCTCCAGATCCACCAGTGATGGAAAGATGGTTGTATTTGGGAAGAGTTAGGGGCACAGGGCTGTCAATCAAAGAGCATCCATGTGGGGAGGGAACATTGGAGGCTATGGGATCTAGTGCTTGGGTAGCACTGCTGCTTGGGCAGATGTCAGGACCAGAAACAGTCAGTTCAGTTCAGTTCAGTACAGTCGCTCAGTCATGCCCGACGTTTTGCGAACTCATGAATCACAGCATGTCAGGCCTCCCTGTCCATCACCAGCTCCCGGAGATTACTCAAACTCATGCCCATCGAGTCGGTGATGCCATCCAGCCATCTCATCCTCTGTCATCCCCTTCTCCTCCTGCCCCCAATCCCTCCCAGCATCAGGGTCTTTTCCAATGAGTCAACTCTTCGCATGANAGAGGCAGGTCAGGTGGTCTTGTATTCCCATCTCTTTCAGAATTTTCCACAGTTTATTGTGATTCAAACAGTCAAAGGCTGTTTGGCGTAGTCAATAAAGCAGAAATAGATGTTCTTCTGGAACTCTCTTGCTTTTTTGATGATCCAGCAGATATTGGCAATTTGATCTCTGGGTTCTCTAGCTTTTCTAAAACCAGCTTGAACATCTGGAAGTTCTTGGTTCACTTATTGCTGAAGCCTGGCTTGGAGAATTCTGAACATTACTTTACTAGCGTGTGAGATGAGTGCAATTGTGCGGTAGTTTGAGCATTCTTTCGGATTGCCTTTCTTAAGGATTGGAATGAAAACTGACCTTTTCCAGTCCTGTGACCACTGCTGAGTTTTCCATATTTGCTGGCATATCTAGTGCAGCACTTTCACAGCATCATCTTTTCAGGATTTGAAACAGCTCAACTGTAATTCCATCACATCCACTAGCTTTGTTCATAGTGATGCTTTCTAAGGCCCACCTGACTTCACATTCCAGGATGTCTGGCTCTAGGTGAGTGATCACACCATTGTGATTATCTGGCTCATGAAGATCTTTTTTGTACAGTTCTTCTGTGTATTCTTGCCACCTCTTCTTAATATCTTCTGCTTCTGTTAGGTCCATACCATTTCTTTCCTTTATTGAATACATCTTTGCCTGAAATGCTCCCTTGATATCTCTAATTTTCTTGAAGAGATCTCTAGTCTTTCCCATTCTGTTGTTTTCCTCTCTTTCTTTGTATTGATCACTGAGGAAGGCTTTCTTATCTCTCCTGGCTATTCTTTGGAACTCTGCATTCAAATGGGAATATATTTCTTTTTCTCCTTTGCTTTTTGCTTCTCTTCTTTTCACAGCTATTTGTAAGGGTTCCTCAGACAACCATTTTGCCTTTTTAGTGATAAATAAAATTTAAATCACAAAGGATTGATCTTCAAAAACTATCACCAAGCAGCAATAGTTTTGAATCACCAAAGTATAGTTTTACCTTTTGGCTTTTGACAACTGTCATCTTCCTTGAGAATTAGTCAATTCTTAGGATCATTGAATAATTTGTAGGACATGTATCAAGATTAAAGTATTGGGCTTCTTGCTAGTACATCATATATGAAGGCTAAAGCAATTAAATGAAGACATAAAATAAATGAAATCAAATTTCCATGCTAAATTCATGAAGTAAATCATAACACTTTCAGTTCTAATAAGTGCTAATCATCTGTGATCATCTGACCTTGTCTAAAGTAATACCTTGAACCTGGAAGATGCCACCACAGGCCATAAAGATACAGATAGTACGGAAGGCACAAATCTCAAAGAAATAGTGATGAGATGGGGGCCTGAAATCAAGGGCTACTTCTGAAGAAAGGAGGATGGGGAGAAGGATGGAGGGAATACCAATTAAAATATGACCATTTCCCTTTACAGTGTTCAGTGGTCTCTGGCACTAAGGTCCCTACAAGCTCTGAGGAGCTCTTATCTGTAGTCATTCTTTTCACTAAAACAAACACTTCAGTGCCAACTGTGTGGGTCAGTACTCCTTTCTTTGGCTTAATGTTTCTCAGGAGGGATACTCATTAGAGAGACAATCCTTTATTTCCCCCTCTTCCTTCCCCCACATGCACTCCAGGAGGCAGAATTTGTCTCTCCCCCTCAACCCCTTCTCCTTTGGAAGAAGAAATGCATTTTTGTTTTCAAAGGCTGTCCATTTCAATGTTTTTTCAATCCAGGGTGATGTTAAAGTATGGGGCATCAGGATGAACATTTAGAAGAAAAATCTGACTGTTACCAATTTACATTTCACATTTGCCCTGCCACCAAGGACAGAATTCTTTAAGCATCACCCCTTTATGATGAGCATAATGCTAATTCTGGGGGCAGAGGGCATCCCATTGTTTGAGTTCAGAGTGTTGGGAGGAGGCCAGTGGACCCAGAATGCTCAGTGAATGTTCAGCCTCCACCTAGCCTGACAATGACCTTCACTACATGGCGACCAGGACCCTGAATGTCCCTGACTGCATTGCTACATTCTAGCTGCTGCTTCCTGTAGGGCTTTAGTCTCCAGGCCCATGTCATGGCCTGCCAGTGACCTGGGTGTGGGCCCTGTACTATGAGAGTTGCGTTTCCACTTCTCAGTGACTTGCAGACCAGCTCCAGTTTGGGAAAATCTGCATACTCCCTGCTGCCCAGAGGCTCAGCATGCTTTCCCCAGTAAGCCTTGAGATATGTCTTCTCCCCAGGTTTGTCCGACCCATCTAGTCTCCCTCAGCCCTAGAGGACACATGGTTCCCTTATATCCTCTCATCACTTTTGTATTATTATCAGGCTTTAACAGTCCTTTATATTAATTGTGTCCTATCCAGTATGTGGACAAGACCAATACAAAGTCAGATTGGAATTCCTTAAGGAAAGCAGTTGCTGATTGCCACTAATAGGCCAGGAATGACTAGGAAGATATCTGTTCTGTGTGGGACTCTGACTTTGAAACTTTAGGGCTCTTGTGCTTTTGGTCTCAGCAGGTCCTGCAGTTCATAGGAGCTTTGTTGAAATGTGAGTGGCAGGGGTGTGGGGCTGAGGTTCCCTCAGCCAGGAGACAGTGGCTCTAGGACACAGATGGCTGCAAGCTGATCTTGAACCATGGAAGGACAGCCTGGCTTCATACTGCAAGCATGAGATAGGATATTGTGTAGAGCTCTTTAGACATCAATGCATAAATCAACATTTTATGTTTTTACAATTGCAATGCCACTGGATTTTCCATCCACTGCACAGTAATCTTAGGTTGTACCTTCAGCCTATTATTGTAGTGATCCCTAACCTTTTTGGTACCTGGGACCAGTTTGGTGGAAGACAATTGTTCCATGGACTGGGGGTGAGGGGATTGTTTGTGGAGATTCAAGCACATTGCATTTATTACATTACATTTACTGTATAATTTATGTCTATTTTATTATTATGTCAGCTCCACCACCACTTCCACCTATCAGATCATCAGATATTAGATCCTGAAGGTTGGGGGCCCCTGTATTACAGCATAGAGACAGGTAAGTGTCCCCAGACTAGCCATATTCAGAGTTAAGGGGGGAAGGAAGAGGGCTCACCTGTATTCCTTTAGATGCTATTTTATTTATTTATTGAGAGAATTTTTAAATGTTTTCTCTAGTGTAAGCAGGATATTAAAATGCTTGTATGTATCATACAAATTCAAAATACCATTTAAATAAAATTTCACATGACACATGAAATTACTACCAAAATTTAGTATGGCAAACAATCACATGGATTTCCCTAATACCAATTTCTGAGAATCAAGAATGTCAGAGCTTTAAGAACACTGAAATGTTACCTAATCCAAACCATTTGCTTGACACAGGAAGACAGGAGACTCTAATGAGAAAAAAATATATTAGAAAAAAGTATTACAAAGTGTCATTGTCCCTCCCAGGCATATAAGTTTCAATGAACCACAGTAGCATGTGTGTATGTAATGTTGTGTTTAATTTCTGCTATATGGCAAAGTTCTTCAGATGCTATTTATTTAGCTGTGGCAGTGGTCTGTGGCAGCACCAGGAATGGTGTTCAGAGAACAGATACTGCTCTCTGACTCCCATTTTAAGAATGGGTGGTGATGCATTGGTGTGTGAGGTCAATGTTGAGAACACTTTTAACTAGAATCTAAGATGTGGGTCTCACTGAGAAATGTGTAAAATCTATCTTTTAAAATAACATTTTTTTAAGGAGGATTTGTTTTTTATTTCCAAGTTTGATCTTGAGGTCTTTAACATAAGGAGTAAACTGCAGAGTAGTTTATAGACAGATTTGAAAGCAAGGATGTCAAAGATCTTCCTATTTTGAAAAAAAGTTCTTATATTAAATTTAACTAGAGATTTTGTTTGGATTCAGTAGGTTTCCACTAGTTGTTGTTGTTTTTTCCTTCTTCTTTTGTTTCCTATTCATCACCCTATCCAAGAGTGACCCCATCTCCTTCCTCTCTGCTAAGTGGTGATGGTCTCTGAACATTCCACGATCCACACTTTTGAGAAGTCTGCTTAAATATTTTGTAGAATATTCCCTAACTGGAATTTGCATGATATTCACAGAAGATTAGACTAAAGCTATGTTTTTTTGAGGGGAAGAAGACTACTAAGGTGTGCGCCCTTCTCACCCCATCTTATCTGGGGTTAGGGCATTTAGCTTTTATCCCTTGGTTAAGGTGGAATCTTCTAGATTTCTCCACTGTAAAGCAACTATTTATTCTCATTCTGCATTCTTTTAGATGTAAATCACTATGTCTTTCACTCAAGGAATTTATGGCAATATAATAAAACCACCCTAGTAATTAATATAGATATATATATACATATATTTATATTATATTGCTTCTAGGCTATGAAAATATTTTGTTTCTCGTTAAAATTTTGTTCTTTATTTTGCCATTCATTCATGGATCTGGCCTGCAGAAATTATTGCTATGCAGCTATAATGGTGATTTTTCTATTCCCCTTAATTTTCTATATTGATTACTTGGAATTTTCTGTAAGAATTTTGTCCCTAACTTCCATTTATTCATATATTTGATCATTTATTTATATTAATATGGAATCAAGGATACTTCTTTTATTCTTTGGTACATAAAACAACACTATCATTATTTCTTTTGGGGACAGTTATTCCAGCTTTCATCATTGGAAGCTCTTTCACATGGGCTCCTGTGTCCTTTTGACAAGCCTGCATCTTCTCATTATTTGCAAAGCATTTCATTATTTTCTGACACTTCAAGATGATCTACATCATCTTGTGGACTTCCCTTGTGGCTCATCTGGTAAAGTATCTGCCTGCAATGCGGAAGACCTGGGTTCAATCCCTGTGTTTAGAAGATCCCCTGGCAAAGGGAAAGGCTACCCACTCCAGTTTTCTGGCCTGGAGAATCTATGGACTACAGTCCAGGGGGTTGCAGAGAGTCAGACATGACTGAGCTACTTTCACTTTCACTTTTTCATCAATCATTTATGAAGGGAGCTCTGGTTTCTTTGGTTAGAGAGATTCAGTCAATACAGGCTCTGGTTGTGCTCCTTGCTGATGTAGTGGCATTGTTTCTAGGCCCTCCCAGTAGAAGATCTAGCAATTATTCCTGTATACTAAAGCATGCACACACACACACACAGAACTCTAATTATCTTGTCTAGCTATCTACTTACCTACTTTCCTATCATCTATCTACCTACATGTCTGCATATTAACTCACCATCTGTCCATTAAAATGAAAGGAGTTTACACTTCTGGGATTCTCAGGTGGCTTAGTGGTGAAGAATCTGTCTGTCAATGCAGGAAATACAAGAGATGCAGGTTCATTCAGTCAATCAGGAATATCCTCTGGAGGAAGAAATGGCAACCCACTCCAGTATTCTTGCCTGAAAAACCCCATGGATAGAGGAGTCTTGTGGGCTGCAGTCTATGAGGTCACAAAGTGTTAGACAGCTGAGTGTGCACACACTCTCGTAGACTGATACCTTCTGCTCTAATCTAGCATCACAAGGCTTACCCTACCTGCACTCTTGTTTCTTTAAAAGTGAGAAACCTGGTTTTCCATTAACCACAATTTATTTACTTATTTGCACAACACTTAAATACAGATTGAGTAGTTTCAGGGCTACTGAATGTCTTTGGGAAAAGGGTATCTTCAGGAAAACACACCTGCCATCTTTGGCCTTCAAGCATTCAACTGAAACACTGCTTTCTAGAGTCATTTAGATAACTCCTTTTCTTCCACTACCTTCAGTGAAGTTCTGTCCCACATTTGTAATATACTTGACTTATCTGTCAGGGTCTGCTTTATATCCTGGGATCCCCCAATCTTCTGATAGATGTTTTAAATTTACCTACAATCAAGCTCACTCTTTGTCAAACTCATGCATGGGAAAACCAATGAATAAATCAACCGAAGACCATATGGGAGAGTTTCTTCAGCTAAAGTATCCCTAACAATAAATTCTGGAGATCCCATCAGTTCAATTCAGTTCAGCCCCTTAGTCATGTCTGACTCTTTGTGACCTCATAGACTGCAGCATACCAGGCTTCCCTGTCCATCACCAATTCCTGGAGCTTGCTCAAACTCATGTCCATCGAGTCAGTGATGCCAACCAACCATCTCATCCTCTGTCGTCCACTTCTCCTCCTGCCTTCAATCTTTCCCAGCATCAGGGTCTTTTCTAATGAGTCAGCTCTTCACATCAGGTGGCAAAATACTGGAGCCTCAGCTTCAGCATCAGTCCTTCCAATGAATATTCAGGACTGATTTCCTTTAGGATGGACTGGTTTGATCTCCTGGCAGTCCAAGGGACTGTCTTCTCGAACACCACAGTTCAAAAGCATCAGTTCTTTGGCACTCAGCTTTCTTTATAGCCCAACTCTCACATCCATATATGACTACTGGAAAATCCATAGCTTTGACTAGATGGACCTTTGTCAACAAAGTAATGTCCCTGCTTTGGAGACACCATACACCAGCCTTCTGAGAAACAGGACAAGTGACAGCTGTGGGAGGAATCCTATCTCTAGCGTGAAGGATTTGTTTGACTAAGAATGAGATTAAGTAATTGAGGAGGACTCAATATCCTAATAAAGCATATAGACAGGTCATATGGTATTGACTCTAGTTCTCATTATTTTTTTAATCTTTGGACATCAACCTAATTTAAAGGACAGAGTTTTTAACCTTTATGTTTTCCTTAAAATTTATAAAAGGAGTGTATTTGAATTTGGGCTATTTCCATGTTGCTAGCATTTTTTATTGGGGTAGCTTTATATTATCATGCAATATTATTGTGAATTTCTGATATCAGGCAATATAGCTGACCATAGCTGGGATGAGAAATAGAAAAGCAACGAACCTTCAGACTTGGAGGTTAATTTAGCCATTGTGCAGCAAATGAGCTTTGTGAAATGCTCCCCAACAGAACAATATTTGGATTTTATGTTTTGAGATGCTGGAGATTTTATTGTTTGAGATCCATTAGAGTTATATTTTCTATTTTGAGATCCATTAGAGTTACATTTTCTAATCCTTTTTCTCCCTTGCAAGGTTAAGTTTAGGTGTCAGCTTAACTGGCCATGGAGTGCCTAGATCAACCATTATTTCTGAGTGCATTTGTGAGGATGGTTTGGGATTAGATTAGCATTTGAGGTGGTAGATTGCCCTCCTCAGGTGGGTGGACACCATCCCATCCTCAAGGGCCTGAAGAGAAGGAAAGGCGGAAGAAGGTGAATCTGCCACCTTTTCTCCTGCCTCCCTGTTTGTGCTGGAACATGTCTTCTCACTTTTTCTGCCCTCAGATTGGGATCTGCATCATCAGCTGCCCTACCTCTCAGGCCTTCAGACTCAGACCCTCTTGCATGATCTGCCTTCCTGGGCCTCCAATCTGCAAGCCACAGTACTCTGCAGGACCTCTCAGCCTCAGAAGTCACACAAACTCCATCCCTCTCTCTCCCTCTCTCCCTCTCCCTCTCTCCCTCCCTCTGCCTCCCTCCCTCTCTCTCCCCCTCTCCCCGACACCCTGTCTCTCTCCCTCTCTCCTCTCCTTACATTTCTCTGGACTTACATCGCTCTTGTTTTATTTTTTTTTTTTCCCCTTGGGAGGCATCAAGTTTTTATAGAGGAAGAAGAACTGGAAAGACATACCATTATCCCTCTCATTCCCCTGCATTATTCCACACTTAGAATCACTAAGCTCAACCTCCGAATTGAAGGACTTCTGGTTTTCAGTGTTGTCAGTAGGTTAGTGGACCTAGTTCCAGGTACCTGCTTTGAAAACCACTTTTAGCTACAGGCTTAAACCATCTTAGAGCACCTCTAACAGTAATAGAGGTCACATTTAACCTCCATCGTTTGGACTTCTTTGTCCTTTTTGTTATGTTTTTATCTTTGGCACGAACACAACTGTTTCTAACAGAAAGCATGTGGAAGGATGTGGTAAGGAGAGGGGAAGTGTGTTTATTAAAAGCCTATTTGGCATCAAGCGCTGCGCTGTGCTGCGCATCTTATATGAGCTCTGTTTATTTGATCCTCACAAATAATATGTTTACTCTCTAGAACTTTAATAGTTGTTATTTATGCTTTTCCCTGTTCAGGTCCTGAGAAAGAATTTAAGTGTAGTAGTTGATTTGGGAAGGGACCCAGGAAGTTCTCGGAAGACTTGGCAAAGACAGATGGGAATCTGGCCAGACACGTGGGGCTGAATGATGTGCCACTTCAAAGGGCACTTGGGACAGAGCCTGCTGGGGCTGCTGTGCTGAGAGGCCACACGGGGCAGGCTCAGAGCTGGGAATGGTGAGAATCATGTGCTCACCTGCCAGTTACCATCTCAGGATCTGAGACTTGCTCCTGGAGCACTGGCTCCTCAGCGCTCTTAGCCAGCCCTGCCTAAGATGAAGCAGATCTGCTTCCCGGATGTCCTCTGATGGAGAAAACAGGAAGCCAGAGGCATCTGGGTACATAGAGATGACCTTGGGCAGGATGTTAACATGGTCTACTATTAGTTCTATTTGCTTTTCACAGCTGAGGAAACTGAGCCCCAAATATTTAAGTAACTTGTCTAAAATCAGGGCTAGTAAGAGGCTAAAGTTTTAAGCCTAGATCTGATTGAGACTCATCCCCACTCCTTTCTGTTGTACATGAAGCTGATAGCTGAATGGTATTAGATTTGTGATCTCTAAAGAAGATTTAGCTTCAGGATCAGGGACCAGGCTTGATTACTCAGATATTTTGCATGGCAGAACTTTCACTACAGTGAAAAAGGTCAGAGAAAGCTTCTGACATAGACATCAGAAGGGGGGTGGAGAGGGCTCCATACTCTCCTCTTAGCAAGTCCTTATATACTTTTAGGAGACCCACTCCAACAAGGTACATCTTAAATTAACAAGATTAGCACTAACAATAGAAAGGTCTTACCAGAATGCTTGCAACAAGTCTTACAACTTTGGTCTTAACATAACAAGATTAGTCAGGAGGTTCCTGTTAAGAAAGAGAAACATATTCTCAAGCAAGATACATTGTTGTTATATAATCATTAGTTCAGAGCTTGAGAAAAAACATACCCTTGAGCCATTAGCTCTGGGCTTAAATAAAAAAAAATAATAAAATAATAAGTGACTAAGACTAAGGAATGTAGGTTAAACATATTGTCCTTTTATCATCCTGGAGAGCCCCAGGCCCCTTTCTCCTCCTTGGGTACCTGGGACTTCTTATCAATCTATCTAAAAATTAACTCTCTCAAAACCTTTCCTTACATTTGTTTTATGTCTTGCTGCTAGACACTGCAAAGAATAGCTGTGGCAGGGTCTCCAAGAGAGGGCAAATACCAAGAAATACTATATGGTGACTTGAAAATCAAGAACCATAGGAAGCTGGATGCAGCCTGGAGACTGGCATATAGAATTCAGCTCTGCCTGTGCCAGGTGAGTACCTAGGAGAAGCTTAATTGAGCTCTGATGATGTCTCCTAACCCCATTTAACATGAAGGGGTATTAGTGGAGGCAACTGAAATCAGTGCTCTGATGACTTTAGACATTTTTGTAGATTCTGAGTCTACTCCTGTATAGTCTTCAACCTTTTAGTGTCCAGCTGGGAGCTGCAGGAGGTGAGGAGCAGACTCCCACCACAGCTAACTTAGAAAGCCAGAGTGCTAAGGAAAACGTCCATTTCAGCCGAGCTGTCATGCCTGACTTGAGAAGGATGCATGATGTTCCAGAGAAAAGAGCATCTCTCTTAAGTAACTGAGACCCCAAAACTCTGCTCTCACTGTTCATTTTCAAGGGTTGTTTCTAACTATGGGTAGTGTGAAGTCAGCTTGAAAAAAAATGTCAACTTCCATATTTCTCTTGTGATGTATCTTGTAAATGATATTCCTTTTCATATTGGTGCCCAGACATCAATGTGTGCCCAATGACTTGCTTTCCTTTGTCAAAGCTGCCTGAGGACTGTGGGATGTAAATGGTGCTGTCTAGATGAATGGAGAACTGAACTCCCTCAGATTGAAGAGGACTTCAGTGAGTTCAATTCATTATCAAAGTCATAAGGAAATATTACTTTGTGAATATCCTGAGGATTAAAAATTTATTTTTTCTTTAACCAAATAGTAGGCACATATGGCTATATATATTAATATATGTGTATATATACACATATATATTAGAAAAAAACATATGTGTAATCTTTATAATCTTTAGATCAGAATGCATATGTTTTATAATATTTTTTATCATTGAATTATGCATAAGTGTTTTCTTCCTTAATGTCATATTAGACACACTTATACACTCTTATGTTACTTGTCAACAAGTATTGGGACTGTGTCTTTTAGTAGGTGAGCTTCTGTTTTCTGATAGCAAAGTATATATATTCTGATACAAATATATTTCTTTAATATTTTTTGTTAATTTTACCTGTTTTCTTCTTGTATCTCTTGCAATGGTTGAATGCAGAACATGCCTTAACTGATTATATCTTGAAGATCAGACTTTCTAACTTCAGGCTTTGTAAGATCACACATGCAGAAATCTTCCTTCAGACAACAGCTGGGTAGCAAATGTGAAGGTGCAGAACCAGCCTTGACTTCCTGAGGTGCATGTCCCACCTGTTGTAGGACTTTCTTGTAACTTTCTTAGCCACCTGATTTATGCAAATATTATAGGTCTCTTATCTATTTTTATTCATTACTTATCTATTATTGTTAATTTTGCATGGTCCAAGCTTATACAATAACTTCTGAAATGGCAGACTGATCACTTCACATCACATAATTGCAGTGGTGTCAGCCTCCAGACATGTCTTGGGGGGAGCATGGTTCAAGTTCCTTCCTCCTGTGGGTGCCCTCTGCATGTAAAACAGAGCCTTGTCAGACATCTCTGAGACAAGAGATTTGTACACAAGACCATTCACCTGTCTGCCTTTTTCCAGTGATTTGAATCTATCATGTTGTGGCTTTATTCTACTAGCTCTTTATAACCTCTTGTTTCTCCCCAGTTATTAGCATATAGAAGATAATGGTATCTATTATATTTGCATCTATAAAATGCAAATTTAATTTGCTTTTACTGTCTTCTTTATTTCTTGTATAAAATTCAGAAATTTATTTATAAACATAACCAGCAATTAAATCTACATTTTAATATTATTTTTATTAATATTTTTATTTTTACATTTACTTCTCTATGAAAGATTAAATATTCACTTAGATTTAACCTTCTGTAGCTGATGTATTTCATAACTGAGCACATCTTTCATATTTGTCAGCTCCTATTTGATCCATCTACCTGTCAGCTAAGTTTAAGTGCAAATATGTAAACGTGAGTATGTGAGAAGAAATTTTCTATGAGCATTAGATACATAGTTTTTTTTCTTACTCTTCTTACTAATGTTAGCAACTTACCTATAAAAATATTTGATAACAGCCTACTCTATACAAGGCTTTGTGTATACTTCATTATATTTATCATTTATGCTCTAAAATACAAAACTGAAACTTATTTTAACATATATTTATTTATACCTGAGTATTTACTGAACTTCTTTTTCCATTAAGGTTGAAATTCAATAGTTTTGGGTTTTACTCACTGATCGTGGAATTATTAGGTAAATTAATTTTCAAGTCTAGAGCACGGGGCCTTCAGAGACACACATATATGTCCTTACTTATCTCACTAGTTTATTCTTTCTACGGGTCTATTGCTTACTCAGATAATTCCCATGAGGAAGAACTTCACTCTTTATCTTCTAAGATTATATTTTTTTCTCTCATAGTTTATATTTATTACAGAGGTAATATATTTTATTTCACTTATTTGATTTTGGCAGAAGTTTATCTGCTTTTCTTTTCCTCATTTCTACATTTTAAATTGGACATAGTGTTTTTGATCCCATGGAGGGTATTCGAGTCTCAGAATGTTACCTTTTTATGAATTCCTAGGGACCTTTTTGTTTGTTTGTTTATTTTTTTTTTCTAGGAAGAACATAGAATTTTACCCAGATTTTGTGCTTGCTAGATTTACCTTTATCCTTGAAAAGCTCAACTTTTGTACTTTATTTTTAGGCATGGCATCTATGCCACCATCCTGTCTGCTCTCTGAACAAAGGAGACAGGTCTCTCTCTGTGATTTTGGTATCCCCAGCCTCTATAACAATGCATGACAAATAATATCATTTTCAACAAATGTTAGTTTATGAAAAGCTAACTGCTTATTTTGTGGTGTGATGTATACACATACTAGTGGGTATAGACTAAAAGTTCATATCAAGTGAACACATGGATGCACAAAGGGCAATAGCTCAAGTTTAGGGAACATATGAAGGATGTCCAAAATAGCAAGCAAAGGGTCCTGGAAAAGCAGTTGAGATGGTGACTTCTGAATAATCATTCTCTCTGCTAGTAACCATTTTTCTCTTTGATGTTTGGTGCTGTCTAACAGACAAAACTGTACTTTCAAATTTCAATGTATAAAAGACACAAACAAATTCTAGAAAATACCAAGTGCTAATATCTGAAATGGATTTTCAGAGGTACAATAGATACTAATAGAGTCATGTAGAAAAATGAAATTTTACAACTCAGTATTATTGATTAAAAAAGAAAAAGGAGAAATGAGACAATACAAGTTTTATTCAAAATATCAGTTATCTATAAGTGATATGGCAAAAACTAAGGGGCTATTTCCAAGTTTTTATGAGATTTATAAATCAGATTTATGAAAATGTTATTACTTCCAGCTTATCTTTAATCTTAATATATTTTTCTCCCTGAATAGTCTGATAAGAACCACAAAAGTAATATAAGTTCTTGAGAGAGCAAATATTTGAGGGGATTATTAATATTAAATAAAACACATTTCCCAAGTATGTCATCAAGATGAAATCTACAGAATAACATTAGATTTAATATCCCTTCTTAGGCTCCACAGGCATTATTGATCAAATCCCTATCTCTATGTGGGTCTTTGAATTAGTGAACTTGAATGGATGATGGGCTACATTTTTCATGTTGCATCTGATATTGCAAAGATTTTATCAGAGCTTGATGAAATATATGCCATAGTTTATTATTGCATTTTGCTCATGAAGTTACATTTGAATTTGATTCCCTTGGGACAATTTTCTACTCAATTGTCTATGATGACCTGATAATCCTAATCAACCTATCAGATATAGAAACACCCAATGGCAATTAATGATATTTAGAGACAGAGTGATTTAGGTGAGCTGCTTGGAGTAATACCATCTGACTTCACGTCTGTCATTTCAGTGAATTCATGATTTATAATGCTGAAATTCCTTTAAATAAAATCATATAACTTTGATGGTGATTTATTAGTTTTTCAATGAAGTTGGAAAAGATAAACATCTTTATAGTGGCCTGGCCAATACAATCCCTCCTTGTAACTATAATATACAGGGACAATCAATTGTGGGTTTAATTGATGAGTATAGACTCTAAGCAAAGCAGGTTATGTTTACATGATTTAAAGACTCACAGCATTAAACTGTGAAAATCAGCTATAACTATATCCTCAACATGGATATTGAAGCAGAGAGAATATTTTGTCTAATTTTCAATATCAGCATCTTCCCAAGAGGGGGCTTTTTTGAGTCTTCTCTATGACAATTATTTTGTGGTTTCCAAGCTCACAATATTCTTGCTTCTAACTGGCATATCGTTCCTCTGCATTTGTCAGTTAGATTATGTGCTAGTCTTACTCTGGCTTCTAAACTACATTGTCTTCATAAACCAAGTGTAAATATTCATGATCCAGTCCAATTATTTGAATGTTCTGTTTTTAACTATCAGAAGGACATCAATTTTTTAATTCCAAGTTGTAGGTGGTAACTGTGTATATGAATCCATGTAAACTGGTGTGAAGGAATAGAATGCCATCTCTTTAGTATACATTCATCAATACAACTGCAGAAGTTAATATTTTACAACATTCAGATTGTTTAGCAAATTTATCATCATGTGTTAGTACATCATATGAGAGATTTCACATATTTATAATATGAATAGATTGTTTTCATTTACTCAATTTTCACTTATCTTTGTACCTCCAAAATTGTAAATCATTTTAAATATTTTCCTTTAAAGAATTTTGCCTTATGGATATTACATTTCAGCATTCATAAATAGTTTTATTTTTTGAAAACTTCATAAATAGTTTTATTTTTTTAAAACTTCAGTAAATATAAACACAAAAATAAGACAGAATGTCCAACTCTTGACTATTGTATGATTTTTTCAGCCCTAAAGTCAAACACTATTTTCCACAATGGAAATGGATTATATTTGAACATTTTCCATTGTCCTCCTAATTTATAGATTTGACATGAAGGATATTTAACAGTATTCAATTATCATAGTGAGAATCTTCTGAAGATTTACCCTTTATATAGCAGTCTTTTTGAA